AGTTTATATATGTACTTAAAATGAAATGGCAAAATTATATATATATATATTTTACCACAGTATACTATATTATATACAATATGTGAATATAAAATACATAACACACACACTCATATATACTAGCGGGTGCTCGTAATGTGCCAGGCTTACTCCTCAGTAAAAAGATTGGCCTCCACACACTAGCCTCCTAGCACATGAGATTCACTTCTGAGCCTCAGCAAAAGAACAATTTCTTACATGTCAGGGTTCTCATGAGGTATCCAATCCATGAATATAAAGACTGCAAAGGCATTGTGTTTTTAATGGAGACTGTCCCTCAATTCAAGAGTACTTCTTCTTTGTCAGACCATTAGACACTCAGGAAATAGCTATTTTAAATTACTTTGGGCTAAGGAAGGACTTTCAAAGCTTGATACCAAAAGCAAAAATCACAAAGGCAAAGAATGGCAGGCTTAACCACATAGAAACCCAAAACCTCTCTGTGGCAAAGAATTCTATCCTTGAAATCAAATGGTAAATTAGTTGACAAAAGGTTGCAATCTCTAATTCAGCGTTTCTCACGGTGTGGTCTACATACCACTGGTGCTATGGGAGGGAGTTTTGGTGCAGGACAGAGAACTGAATCTTAAATGGTATGAATTTAAACACTACAGTAGGCAGCCCTTCATATCACACCATGCAAGTGGCTACCTCCTCAGAAGCCAGGTCCAGGAATATATAATATGAAATTATTAATTCTAAGACTCAATTAAAGCTCAATTATTTTTATGTAAACTTTTCTTGAAAACCTGATTTCTGAATCTACATCCTTCCCCTATGTTACTATGTATCAGCTCAACAGAGAATATTAAATGAATTAGCACACATAAGGCAATCAGAAATATTCGCTATTATTACTATTTTCTGAGCATTTACATTTGGAAACCAGTTAGTGCCAGGTCAGATGCTTAAAGACAGAATACGAGAGCTTTTGGAGCTGAAGAGTGATCAAGATTAAAAATAATTTAGACCACACTGGGCAGGCATGCTTTGGAGCGAAGGGGAGAAGAGAGTTGATTTAAAAGTTTTGGGTAAAATCTTAGAAATAAATATGAGGTTACAACAACAATCACAACAGAATATTGCCAACATTTCCATTCCAGCTTGTTATACCTATCTTATAGATCAGATAAAGTCCTTCAAATGTCAACTTATGAAGTTTTTCATATGTTGTATTTAAATTGGAAACTTCAGCGGTTTTCCCAGTACATTCTATCTCCCACTTAAATTTTCTGGCATTAGAAGCATATTCAAATGACAAAGAGAGTCTCCTAATAATAGGGCGATTAACTAACCCAGGTTCCCTGGGACTGTCCCAGTTTGATTACCAGAAGTCCTGTGTCCCAGGGCCAGGATGGGTGGTCCCCTTACCTAATAAGGACATTTTGACCAGTTAGAAACGTTCTGGGCTCACATTTACGTCTGTTTCACAGGTGATATTTAGTGTTCTAGCAATTTCTTTAGTGTTTAGTTCTCCAGTGTTTTTAGCAATTCTTTCTTCATAAACAATCCATACACTCCAGAATTCATGACGTCATTTGCAGTCTTGGGTCTGCTCCTCATTGTGAAGCATTGGGCAAGTTACTTAATTTTTCCAAGTCTCAGTTTCTTTCTTTGTTTAAAAATTTATATTTATACAAGAACATATTCACAAATGTTTATACCATCTTTATTTTTTTATTTTTTTATTTTTTGCAGTAGCGGGGATTGAACTCAGGACCTTGCGCTTGTGAGGCAGGCTCGGTGCCGATGAGCTAAATCCCTGGCCCTCAGTTTCTTTCTTTAAAAATAAAAAAGGTTGATATTTTATCAGGTTTCTATAAATATTAAATGAGATTATAAAGATAAAATACTTAGTACACATTATTAATGTATAATAAATGTTAGCTATTAACTTTGTGTTTATTAGTTACATAACACAAGACTGAAGGGATGATGTTTGAAACACACCCCTTAAAAAATAAATAAAATAAAACACATCCCTTCCCCCCAATAGTTCAAAAACAACATTTACAAACTAACAGGCTGCATACCCATTACCATACATAGCACTGCCCATCAGGACTTCTCTCAGCCTACTAGAGTTACAGCATGTGATTAAAACTTTAAAAAAAAGAACAGCCATACTTAAACCCAAACATATCCCTCCTCTCAAATTGCCTACGCTTTTGTACTTCAAGGAAGCCAAGAGCTAAGCTGGGATCCAGGGATAGGTCAAAGCAAACAAAACAGATATAAATGAAGAATGTATCCTGCCCTCTTTCCAAGAATATGGGAGCCCAAAAAGCAGAGGAATGGGCTGCAGAATGAGGGGTGGGGACAGGAACTTTTCTAGCATAAGTGGTAGCCTTGAAAGTCCACAAAGGCCGGGTGTGGTGGCATATGCCTGTAATCCCAGCACTCAGAAGGCTGAGGCAGGAGGATTGCTGTTAGTTCAAGGTCAGCCTGAACTGCATAGCAAGACCTTGTCTCAAAAAAAAAAAAGTCCACAAGGGAAGAAGACATTCTAACAGGAACCTGAAATGCCTAATCGTGAGAAGGCACGAGAGTAAACCTGATGGCTGAAATATGAAGACAGAAATCCAGGCAATTAAATGAAGGGAGGAAATATTCACTTAGGAGAAAGTTACTCAGTCCAGACACTGGAGAAATCCAACCACTAGCAATAATGGGCACCTAGTGTGCTAATGAGCATGTTATTCGGGGCAAAGCCTAAACTGAATTTGGAATCTCCAATCTCTAAGGTGCCAGTTGTCAAGGAAAATGAGAGAATGATTTGTACTGCTAGAATTAATAAGGTTGTTACCACAAGACCCTGTCATTCACACCTCAGCCTCAAGGAAGCCTGACAAGCCTCTTGGTTTGTTCTTCAGTGGTTTAGGACACTGAGTTGTTCTGATCTCAGGAGGCAGGGTGCTCGGGTGCACCTGCCCAACAGTTCACCCTCCTACCTCAACCAGTGCCTTTAATACCCCTCAACCGGACTCTGTAGCATTTCCAGGCTTTCCCAAGAACCAAGTATCAGTACACCAGTGTCACTGGAGTGGATGATAAGAGGTCTTTCCATTCAAGAAACCCAAACAACCAAGATACTCCCTAGGTATAGCACAAATGAACACTTTGATTTCAGGCTCCCATCCTCACACCTCGCTCAGCCAGATCTAATCCACCTAGGCCCAGAATCTAGGCCCAGAGGAAGCATCCTCCTCTCATACTTCACCTAACCCCCCCAGGGTGAGGGGAGTTTCTCTTCCAGTTGAAAGAATGCAAATACTATGGGCCACTCTTTCAAGTTTTTCCACACCCTACTCCAGCTGCCACTCTCCAACAGAGCCCAGATCATTAGGATCCTGTTAGGGATTTTACTTCGCAGGGTTTCAGCATCTGTGGGCTGAATACACTTGTAGTAATCTTTTATCAGAAATGAAGATTCTCTTGAAACCTGTTTCTTCCATGGTTTGGTTTATTGTGGACAATGAGATAATTTGACACCTAAAGTGAAGTAATAGATGGGAAAGGGTCTCAATGGCATTGAAAATGCCTGAGACATACAACTTGTTCTGATGACACTAACAAAGTTAGCTTGTCCATGCCTGGAACCACTGGGGCTGAAGTAAGAATGAGGCAATGGTGGATTCACCTTGGGACAAGGGAGGAAAACCAGATCTTCGCAGTTAAGTTAGGGTAGCTCTTGCCTTTCTCAATTGCTTTTAGATTTTCCTGTTTGAGGCTTAGTGCCACCCAGGTATTTTGTGAATGCTCAGTATTTCTTATAATTTAGGAATACCTGCCCATGACAAAGAATCTCAGTTCCAAGGAACCTTAGAGAGCTCAGAGAGGTCAGACAACTTACTCAGGCCCACCCATGAAGGGAGGGACATAACCTGTACTACATCCAGGTCTTCCATAGTGGGAATGTCTTTCTCTTGCATAACTATGTCATTGAGTATATTTTTGCTTTTATTCTAAAGGCATCCTGTGTACACACACACACACACACACACACACACACACATGCACACACACACACACACACACACTAAGAATACCAAATTCCATAGTAAGGTTTCCTGAAGTTCCCCCTCCCCAATTCACACTGCCTCAGTTGTTAAGCTGTTCTCACCAGAACTTCTCAGACTGGGGGACAGCAGCCACTTTGGATATGTTTGGATTGTGTTTCTTTCCTCCCCTCTCCCTTCCTTCCCTCCCCAGAAAGATTTTTAGAGTCTGACCTACACTGGAATGTATGCCTGCATGGAGGATGTGGATTCATCCACTCTCCTGCCACATGCAGCTCTTGAGGCATGTAAGATGTCCTAGGTTACTCTCCAGAGTTGTATTCTGCCTGCATTCAAAATCAAAGGCCATGATCTATAGAGGAGGTGGGAGCCCCCCACCCCCACCCCATCTAGACTCTCAAGAAATTCTCACAAGTCTCTAGTTTTTATTTCTCTCCTTGCACCTTCCAAGACCAGCAGCAGCCTAAGCCTAATTTGTCCTGATATTTTGCTTGTCCTGTCAGTCAGGGCCACTAAGTAATTTAAAAGCCATTTCAGTTTTGTTCGGAGTCTGAACATTTAGAAATGAGCTTCTGAGTAGGGTGGAACTCAGACTACAAGAGGAACTCCAAGAGGACATCACAGTAGAATCTCCTAAAGGGGTGTGGAAATGTATGCATTGGAGAAGGGGTAGTATGAATAGCTACCTCTAAATCACAGAGTCTGCCCACCTCTTGGGCCACAGCGTTCTTGCATTCTGATGAAACTTCATAGCACCCTTCCAGTCTCACACCTGCTAGGCCTCCCCTAAGCTATGCAAGACTCCAGGTAGCCAAAAGTCCAGTCAAGGTAGCCTGTGAGCCTGATCTCCCAGTGCCCCTGGTGAATTTCCTGGTTTCCCCTTTTTGTCTGAGGCAAAGGTCTAGGAGACACTGGTGCATGCAAAGGCGAATAACTACCCACCTGTGGAAGAAGAGCAGGATGGACAGCATGGTTTGGTCGATGTTACGATTGCAGATGCCCTCGTTGATCAGGTAGCAGGGGTCTCGAAGTACAGGCTCTAGCGAATCTTGCCGCATTATGCTATTGAGCTTGTCAGTATTGAGGTTCTCAAATATCAACTTCTCCTGCAGCTGCCTAAAGTTGCTCACGGTAGGGCTGCCCTGGTTCTCCCCACTGTTGCCTTGCTGGAGCCCGCTCCGGTGGGCCAGGTCCAGGCAGCAGTTGCAGCAGTCAAGGCCGATAGGTGAGCGGCAGTCGATCTTGGACCGGGCCATGTTCTCAGGCTTGGGAGCTTCAGACTCAGGAGCTGCCCGGCCTTCGAGGTCAAGGAAGGCTGGCAGGTGTGTGCCCGCCGGGCTAGCCTGAGGGGACTCCAGATTGCCTGGAAAAGACAAGCTGTGAGGACAAGAGTTGGAAATTAGCGACTAAAGCCAGCCACCCTCAGCCCCTCGGTTCAGGCCCTCTTCTGGTTGTACTGCTAGGGGTGCGAAAAGAAACAGCTGGACAAACAGCTCTGAGCTGATCCTCCGGGCTCACTTCCTTCCCCCCATTCCCCGCCCCAGGCTAGGGCCGCCCTGTTGAGGTTCCACACGCGGTCCCAAGGCAGACCTAAATTTTCCAAGTGTGTTCGGGGTTCGGGGAGGACCCGAGGCTGCAGGAAGGGCGGGCAGCAGGAGCAAGGCAGAAGGAAAGCTGGGGCGCGCCCTCGCTCCCTCCCTCTTCTCCGTCCCTTCCAGGCTCTCAGGCTCTCGGGCTCCCTAGGGCTGTGCTGGCTAAGCGGTGGCAGGAGCCCAGAGCGAGTGAGCGAGCCGCACGCCTCCTAGTCAGCACCGGGCTCTGACAGCATGTAAATTAGCCGAGGGGCCAGCGGAGGACAAGCCGCCGCTTCCCTAGCGAGCGCGGGCCAGGCGGGCTCTGTGTCGTCCCCTCAGCCCGCCCGCCCACGCGTCCGCCCGCCCGCACCCTAACGCCCACGCGTCCGGTCGCACCCTGGCCAGCGCTCCAGTGGAGCCCCGCCGGGCTTCCCCCTTCTCCGCGTGCCCAGAGCCTCGGTTCGGGCTTCCTCAGTGCTCAAGGCGCATCCCGACAGAAAACTGCAAAGCGGCCCGTCCGGAGCGAGCGCCGCGCCTCCCCGAACCTTCGGCCTCGTGGGTCTCCAGCTGAGGGAAGGCAAACGTTTTTAGTCCCACTGCGCAGGAGTCCCCCTACCGGAGAAAAGCCGTGCCGAGGCGCGCGAGCGCGCCGAGCCTTTAAACCTCCGCCCCCTTAAAACCGATTTTGGGGGCCGCGAAGAGCGGCCGCCTCTGCAGAGTCTGAGCGCCAGGGAAACAGCAGGAATACCCAATAAATACCTTAAGCAAAACTCATAGAAGTACGCTCAAACTCTCCTCAGTTTCTGTCCCTTTCTCCTCTCTTCACTTATCCTGGGCTCCTTTTCCCCACCTGCCCTCTCCCCTCTTCCCAGTCCCAGTTTCCTGGAATGCTTGCTCCCCAGCAGGCTTCCCTCTACTCTGCCCCTTCCTTCTCTGTGCTTCTACTTTGCACTATTTCTGTTTCCTCTTTTCCTTTTTCCTCTTTACTCATTTCCTCTATTTTCTCCGTTTCCTCTTCCTCACTTTCCTCATTTTTTTCCTCCTTTTCTCTATTTCTGCACTCCCCTGCCTCCTTTTCTCTTTCTCTTCTTTTCTTTCGTCCCCCTTCAATCCCTCAGTTTATCCCCCCCCCCTTACTTCCCTCACCTCAGCACTCCCTCTTTCTCCTCACTTCTCTTAACTACTTTTCTAAACTTGTTCTCCCTCTTTCAGACCGCTACCTGGCATTTTAGGTGATCTGTGGCCTCCTCACTCTTTCCCTTTTGAGAAACGAGGTAATTCTCCGTTCACCAGCCTGCGCTCGCTGGGGAACTGAGAGACGCCTCCCGAACCCCCAGGCAGAGGGATCCGAGAGCAGGAGTCTCAAGCAGAGGTGAAGAGAGAGGGCGCACGGGCGTCCCGGGGCAATGTGGTGCTGTGGCTCTTACTCCAGGTTTGTGGGAGGTGGGGATTTGTTGCGAGGACGAAGTGGTAGGCTTCTAGGGTGTCTCAGAACTTGGAGACTTGGAATACGTTGAATGTGTAAGATTCAATAATTATTGGTTCCTGGAAAAATTAAAAATAGTCACAGTGTTCACTTTTCATATAAAACAAATAGATTTCAATTTCAGCACTCCCCCCTTCCAATCGCTTTAGTCCTGGGTCCTCAGCATTTGAAATACGGTACTATATACTGCCATCTTGTGCCTGAGATATGAAAAGGGTCTGTGCTTGCGTCGCAGAGTTCCATCTTTGAGAGACACTAGAGGTGCCTCCTGGTGGAATCCACAGTGCGTTGGTTCTCAGAAGAGGCAGGGGAGCGCCTGAATAAAGCCCTATTGTCAAACTGTAGGCGGGGACATTAGGAACAGAGCAGCTCTCTTGCTAGTGGAACTCCGCTTGCCCAAATCCCTGCGCAGGTTGGATTTCATAGATTTGAAAAAAAGAGGCGGGATATATCATGTACAGGTGCAGATTCCCTATGGTTAGTGTTATCATTATGCATATCTAAAATGTACCCATAAATGTTTTGTTTGAAAAAAATAGTATTTCAAAAAAGTAAAAAAAAAAAAATTTCCTCCAGGTGCTACAAGCCACACCAGTGACAAATGAAGGAAGGCTGGCCAACTAAGTCCTGTTCCCAAGGCCCTCTGGGTGTTGTATGGTGTCCCCAAATTTGGGAAAACGAGAAGGCAGTAAGTATAGTGCTAGTGACCAGAAAACCAAAACCAAGCTGTAGCTCGGGCTCCTGACAGGATCCTGAGATCAGGGTTGAAAAAGGTACTGATGGTCAGAGACTGACAGAACTGAGTATGATCACTGTGTTCTCAAAGACTGCTAAGAAATTTCTATGTCTTCTCTCAAAAGCCAGTCCCTTTAGATGTATTATTTTGTCCCCTTTCCTTTTCTTTTAAAAAAAGACTTTAACAAATGTTCTTGAGTATAAGTCAGAGGAGGTAGTAGAATATAAAATTTCATTTGCCTTGTGTAGACTTATAGGCTACTCAATTGTTTTTTAACTACAGTGTTTTAAGTTTTTCCTCTTGTTTATAATTATTTTATAACAAAATATATTAGATCCATAAATGTTTGTTTCAGTTGTGTTTTTGGAACTGCTAGGCTTTTTGCTTCTATATTTGCCTGAGTCCCCTTATCTTTGTGCATGACCTTGGGATGAGGCCCTGGTGGAAGTATTTCCTTCTTGGCATTTGGCACCATTAAACTCAAGATTTTGTCCCCTTGACATTTCCCTTGCCATAGTCCTTGCTCTCAAGCAGTAGTGTTAATAATTCAATACTGTTTTGCATGCCATATCCAGACTAATCAAGAGCAAATATAATTGAGGTATAGAAAAACCTAGCTAGCTCAGAGATAGAGTTCAGAGAACTGTCATGTGTTTGCATACAAGTCCAGCTTGTATTGACATAATGCATACCTCTGTGAATTAAGGCTAACTGGGCAGGGCCACCGTGACTCTCTGAAGCTTTGCTTTGCTGAAATATATTCTATTGGATGGAGAGACTCCAAGCAGCAAAATGTTCTTGCATAAATTGAGAGAGCAGAGTGGGGCCCCACTTCCAGATAGAGCCTCTGGCTTTCTAGGTGCAGCAGAAAGGGGATGGAAGGAGCACCTCCTCCTCAGATGGAGTCATTTGACAGTTCCTCACTATGCATTTGTCCTGTGCCAGGTACAGTGTTAGTGGGGATTCAGAGATAAATGAGACTTGACCCAAGTCCCCAAAGAACTCATAGTTTTAGTTGGAAAAAAGGATTCATAGACAGACAAAACAGTACAAGTGGTAAGTGTTGACAGAGGCCTGGTGTGTGTGCTGAGGGTGGGCAGCACATGCTGTGAAAGGTGTGGAGGAGGGTTTGCTCTGGAAGGGGGGAAGGGAATCCACAGAGGCTCCTTACTGACTTATAGTGGGGGTACAGCTCAATGAACCCACCATAAGTTGTATCATAAGTCAGTGTATTTACTACATTGTACTTCCTGATTCTTATAACTTAGCAACACACTACACCAGTGGTGGTGAATTTATGGCATGTGTGCTGCAGCAGGCTGTTTGTTTTCGTTGAAAGCTCTAAAAGGTTCGCCATCATGGCACTATATATATATATATTTTTTTTTTTTTGCTTAAATTCTTTTATTGGTACATTTTAGGTATACAATACGTTTACATTTATCACTGGGCGCTTGTACCTGTACACGATGTATCTTGGTTCTTATTTTTTCCCCATTACCTGTGCGCCCTTCACCCCCTCCACCCTTCCCTATTTACAAAGACTTTGCTTCCATGTTTCTCTTTTCTCATAATTTTTCCTTTCCCTTCTTTCCTTTCTCCTTCCCCTCCCACCACCCCTACACCTTTGGACCTTTTCTTCCTATTTCAAATTATCAGTTATTCATTTTAACA